ACCGCGCTGCGACAGTCGAGCCCCGGGAACCGCCGGCCTGGGTGCACACAGCCTGTGCCCCAACTCTGCGCCCAGAATTCCTGCTCGCCAGATGGGCCGCGTGACCTCGAGCGCTTGCTTTGCCACTCCAAGCCTCAGTTTCCCCATCGAACACAGTGATCCCTTGGCCTCTCCTGGGGGATTAAAAAATGCTGAATCCTGTGAAATTCACCGGTTTGGGGTGGTGGGGGAAAGTGTAAATCCTGAGAAATATATGCCTTATCCCTGACTCCCACCAATAAAATCCGGTCATTCCATTTAAGAGGAGCCTGTGCTCGACTGGAGATCCAGGGCCAGGGCCCTGTGAGGTGGAGAGGGATGCATGGTGGCCCCCCAGGGCCAGAAGTAAAGTGGGAGTTTGCAGCATCTGACCCGTCTGCAAGCACGTGGGATCCTTCAAGTGACTGGTCTTCCCCGAGCTACTGCAAACCCTGTGTTTGGCTGTGGGGTGCAGGAGCTGTGCTGGGATGAAGGGGTGAAGTCGGAGAAACACATCCCCCTGGGACGGGCCCAGGGGTACCTTCTAGGTGCTGAACTGAGCCAAAGCTGGGTCCTGCCAGTGCTGTGTGCGGTAAAGAAGGTGTGAGGTTGCACGGTGGGGCAAGAGATGAAAGGAGAGAGGGCATCGGTGCTTACCCCCAAAGGAAGCTGGACGCCCAAGCGACTGCAAGACGTTTTCTTCCAACAGGACAAATGGCAGGGGAGGTCCGGCTGGCACAGGGGAGTTAGAGCCATTCCCCACCACTTACATTCATTGACTATAAGGCAGAGAATTTTGTGCTGGTGCTTCAAGTACATTTTCTGCTTTGGTGCTCAGAGTAGCCCCCTGGGTCCCTCCCTCTATCCCCCTTTATAGTGAAGATCCCAAGGATAAGGACTGCAGGAGCCCTTCCATTCACCAGGCTGCTTCTCATGCCTAGATGTGGGTGGACAGGGAACTGGGTGTCAGGTGAAATCCTGGAGACCAGGCCCCTGTAGGAGACCCTACTTCCAAAACAATGTTGAATTGATCTGCCTAGTCAGCTATCTATTTTAGAAGTACCCCCCACCCCGGTTCCAGTGACTTTCAAGAATTCCAACACTGCCCAAGTGTTACGTGGGCATAAGGATGATAATTTGAGGCATTTTCATTTTCTCAGTAATCAGGATTCAGTTGAACTACATGAAACTGCCATTTTTGTGAAACATCACAAGTGGTCACACATTAACTCCTGCATATGCTTCAACCTGATAGTTGTAGATGATGGAACCTCATGTCTTTCTCAAGAGTGGGACATTTTCCCCACCCCAGCAGCTCACAGCAAAGGCCCTCATCAAACATGTGATGATCAACTGGTCCCTGTCCTGAGATGGCCTCCCCAGCAGAGCATCTTCTGTGCAGGCTTTCTGCCTCCGTCTGGTACAGCTGTTTGCTTTCTCTCCCGTCCCAGGTCTTCCAGGACAGTTCATACCCACTAGTCTGCAGCTCCATTTGCTGTCCTCCTTCTCTCTTTGAGATGAAGCCCCTGGAGAGCACTGGAGAGCAGCACTGCCATGAGGAAAATGGCTTGGGCCCATCCCCATTTCTCAGTGACATGGTAAAACATCATCTTCCATCCCGAAGATCTCCCTGTTCACCCCACATAATAGCAAAGTCTCCAAGATTTTTCAAGTAGTACGTGTGAAGTGTAGAGATTCTTGTTAAATGGTGTGGTGTACTTTTACATCTTCATGATTTTATGAAAACAAAGCTGAATATAGCTGAATAATATCCCCAAATGGCCAACCTACATGAAAATTAGAGAAACATGATAAACTTGTATAGGTGCAGAGTTCACAAATAAACAGCAACTTCTTGTACCTGTTTTGACTCTCAACTCTTCCTTCACTTAAAAACTTTCAAGGGTAGGATTGATATCAATTGCTTTCAAAAGGACCTGTAAGGATTTATAGGGGTGGTTGGGTGGAAAGAGATTCCCTCCTGGGTCTAATACCCTTTGCTTACTGTTACACATGCTCATTCTAATAAAGTATCCAGTACTGCAGAGTGTGCTGTGATTTGCACACCATTCTCATGTCTGTCCCTTCACTGACACACCATGCCGTCTTGGAAGCCAGATGCTGTCACCCTCATTTTGTTGATGAAGAAGCAGACACCTACAGACTCTTTGGAGTTGGCCTCAGATCACAGACAGAATGTGCCAGTCTCCTCTCTCCAACCCATGTTGATAAAATCTGAGAGGGCAAAAGTCTGTGATTTTGACAGTGGGGTGCGCTTGTCCTGCTGATATTTCATGCTCTCTCCCCTTTTGCCAGGTTAGAGGGAGAAGGCCTTCAAATGGAAGGTTTGCACCAGGGATAGCAGGAATGTTTTCTGAGATATAATGTGTGCACCACAGGCTCTCAGTGGGTGTTATAAGTTGAATTTTGTGCCTCCCCCTATGCTAAATTCATGTGCTGAAGTCTAACTCCCACCACCTCAGAATGTGCCTTATCTCGAAATAGGATCATTACTGGAATAATCAGTTAAGATGAGGCTACTGTAGTACTGTTCGCCTCTCCTCCAGTGTACCTCCAGGTGTCCTTATAAAAGGAGAAATTTGGACACACACACAGCACCATGTGAAGCTTTGAGTGACGCTGCCACAAGCCATGGACCTGCCAGAGGCCAGGAGAGAGGCCTCCAACAGACACTTCACTAGAACCATCAGAAAAAACAGCCCTGCCAAAATCTTGATCTTGGACTTCCCGCCTCCTGAACTGGGAGGCAATAAATGTCTGTTGTTTAAGCCACCGCAGGTACTTTGTCATGGCAGTCCCAGGAAACTAGTATACCTAGTGTGTGGTCTGTCCTGAATAATGTTCCAAGTTGCAGTAGGTAAATATCAAACAATAGCCAAGGGCCTGTGTGAATAACAATGAGAAATTCGGCTCTCCCCAGGAGCACCTGGCTCCCCATCAGAGGTGAGCAAATAGGGAGGTACCTTCAATCAGCCACATTGTGTATATGTCTGGGACAATGGGCCACAGGTACAAAGCTCTCTCAATACAAACAAACCCTTAGGACAATTTGTGGCCACTATTTACTTGGTGGGGGCTCTTAGTCATCTTCCCCTTTGGTACAGGAGACTGGTGCCTCATTTGAGATGTGAGTGTTCAGCTTCATGCTGCAGTGATGACACTGGGCGTCCCTGTGTTTATTCACCATTAACAAATCTCTCTTCCCTAACTTTGTGTTACAAGGGGCCTGTCCATTAGAGAAAATAAGCAAATTGCCCAGATTTAGCTTCAACTCCTCTAACCCAGGTCCAACTCACAGCCACTACAAGGAAGAAGGAGACCATGTGGTGTTGTGGCTAAAAACGTGGCCCCCTGTGTTGGGTTTGTGAGGCTCAGGTCTCAGCACCTCCCAGCTGTGTGACTTGGAGCAAGCTACTCGACCTCTCTGAGCTTCATCTGTTCTGTGGGCTGGGGATTTAGCACCTAGCTCATCTGGTTACTGTGGGGAGAGAGGCCCACATGCATACAAAGCCTGTACTTTATACTCAAAAGGTAAAGACAATTTTTCCTTTAACAATTCAATGTATACAAAAATGTGCAAGTATCACTTAAACACTTTGAACTAAATGTATTAAAATAGGCACTCTGGACAGTGACTCTAATAGCCAGTGAAGTTGCCTAACCTAGCCTCTGTCATAGGAGAGCTCATTGATTTCCACTAACTACAGCCAGACATTTGGCTTCTGGACGAGTGTATCTCATACTTCACGCCCACTTCATATGCTGGGATAAAATTTCCCTTGTGAATCTGTAGGAGACAGAACAACCCCTAAATTGATTGACTTTGAGTCACTTGTGAAAATGAGGTTGGTCGGGGAAGAGGTTGTTGATTCATGTGTATGGGATACTCGGTAAAGTTAATTATGTCAAAGCAATTTCTGGGTAATCAAATGGCGGTCTTGAAATGATGAAACACTTAGAGCCGGGGACACGCACCAGGCTGAGCCCAGATGGAGTCCGGCCTGAGGCTGCAGCCTCCTTCCCATCCTTCCCTTTGTAGGGGCAGCTCCCGGCACCCGGTCACCTGGTGCAGGACACAGTCTGTGTCCCAGACCTTCTCTGGGTAATTCCTCATGTCCTTGTTTGCTTGGAGCAAATGGAGTACACAAAGAGTCTTTAATTCCCTGTGGACAGCAATTAGACAGCATAGCGTATATCTGTTTTGGACTCCTCTGATCAGAAAGAGACAGAAATCTCCAACTCAAACTACCTTAATCCAATATTGTGAGAACACATGTGCAGTAATAGCAGAAGGCTCAGGGGTGTCAGATTCACACCTACACCCAGCACTGAGTGATCAAGCTGAGTCAGACCCCAGCCTCTACAGAGAGCTGCTAGATGGTGGTTCCTGATAGCTGCCTCAGGCCACATGACCATGGTGGGAGGTACTAGCAGCCTTTTTCCTCCTCTCCTGGAGCTTTCCATGCAGCTGCAACTCAAGAGAAGGTGCCTGGAGCTAAAGGCAAGAGCTGCAGTCAGACAAGGTGGCTGGAAGGAGAGTCAGCAGATGGCCACTGTGCACGGAGGCAGTAGGATCTTATCTCACTAATTTTGCAGCTTCAAGCATCCCTGTTTCTGTACC